GGGTCATCTGGTCATAGAAGGAGATCAGGTTGGTTAAGCAGGACCTGACCTTCATGAACCCATGCTGGCTGGGCCTGAGTCCCTGGTTGTCCTGCACCTGCCATGTGAGTGCCCTCAAGATGAACCATTCCATAACCTTCACTGGCACTGAAGTTAGGCTGACAGGCCTGTAGTTCCCTGGATCCTCCTTCTGGCCCTTGTTGTAGATGGGCATCACATTAGCAAGCCTCCAGTCATCTGGGACGTCCCCTGTTGACCAGGACTTCTGATAAATGATGGAGAGTGGTTTGGCCAGCTCCTCTGCCAGCTCCTTCAGTACTCTCGGGTGGAACCCATCCAGTGCCGTAGACTTCTGGATGTCCAGGTGGCAAAGCAGGTCTTTTAACTGCTTCCTCCTGAATTACAGGGAGTTTATTCTGCTCTCAGTCCCCATCTTCCAGTTCAAGGGGCTGATTACCTTGCGGATTGCTTGTCTGACTATTAAAGACTGAGGCAAAGAAGCCATCAAGTACCTCAGCCTTTTCCTCATCCTTGGTGACAATGTTCCACTCCACATCCAGTAGAGGATGGAGATTCTCCTTGGTTTTCTTTTTGTTGTTAATGTATTTGTAGAAACATGTTTTGTTGTCATTCACAGCAGTGGCCAGCCTGAGTTCTAGTTGGGCTTTTGCCTCTCTAGTTTTCCCTCTGCGTGACCTAACAAGCTCCCTGTGCTCTCCTTGAGCTACCTACTCCTTCTTCCAAGAGCGGTAAACCTTCCTTTTTTCCCTGAGTTCCAGCAAAGGATCCCTGTTCAACCAGGCCAGTTGTCTTCCCTGACAGTTCTTTTTCCAGCACACGGAGACAGCCTGCTCCTGCACCCTTAAGACTTCCTCCTTGAAGAATGTCCAACCTTCCTGGATGCCCTTGCCCTTCAGGACTGCCTCCCAAGGGACTGTCTTGACCAGTGTCATAAACAGCCCAAAGTTAGCCCTCGGGAAGTCCATGGTTGTGGTTTGGCTGACTGTCCTCCTAACTTGACCAAGAATATAGAATTCTATCGTTTCGTGGTCACTCAGCCCAAGTCGGCCTCTGACCACCATATTTCCCACCTGTCCTTCTCTGTTTGTAAACAGTAGGTCCAGTGAGGCACCTCCCCTGGTTGGCTCCCTTACCAGCTGTGTCAGGAAGTTATCTTCCACACACCCCAGGAACCTCCTGGACCATTTCCTCTGTGCTGTGTTGTATTTCCAGCAGATGTCTGCTAAGTTGAAGTCCCCCACGAGGACAGGGGCTAACGGTTGAGAGACTTCTGCCAGTCACTTAGAGAATGCCTCATCTGCCTCTTCCTCCTGGTTGGGTGGTCTATAACAGGATATCTGCCTTGTTGGCCTTCCCCCTCATATAAGGGGAAAACATCAGAAAAAACTGAGAGAGAGAAAACCCTTTTCAGCAACTAAGGAATTATTACAACAGAGAAGAAAAGACAATGAGAATCAGTGAAATCAGTTGTGTTCTTTCAATGTTAATGGGAAATAAGCATTCAGTACTTGCTATAAACTGATACAGAATGGAAACTGGGCTCAGATTGTGGGCTGTGGCACAGCTGTACCTCGTTACACCCTCCCTGGACTGGGATATCGGCTCTTGCATGGCCACTCACAGAAGGATCCACCACAAAATGGAAGCAGGGCTTCCTTGTGGCTTAGAGGTTGTTACACTGCCTGCCTCTCTCCTGCCACTAAATATGGTTGTGTCAGAGCTGAATTAGCCATTAGTCATAGCCAACTCAAATTCCCTCTGGGTTCTAGGATATAAGTATGCCTCTTGCCTTCACAGTTGCACACAGGAACCTGAAAATGAATTGACTTAGAATGGTAATTGTGGCCTGAGTAAACAGGTAACTTGGAAGAGGAACTGTAAAAAGATATGAACTGTTTCACTCATCTCTGCAGGTTTTTAACTGAAATGCACTGTGATTTTATATGTATTCTTCCAAATATTGTATTGCTGGTATGCTGCTATGCAGAAGATATTTGAACTTCTGTTCTTTGAGTGAAAAAAACCCTCTCTGATGTGGGTTTGCTATTTCAGTCCTGTCAGATTACTGAGTAAATTCATTTCACTCAAAGACCAGTTGTATTTTCTTATGTATAAATGTATTTGTTTAATTTTTTAGGATCCTAACTCTTAGATCATTGCCCTCTATTAAATTTATAATACAGAGCGGGTTTTTTTTCTTATCATACTTCTGCTGAATTTTATTGCTTCATTATGGAGTGTAATTTTGCTGTATTGTGTTCTTCATGAAAATTTCAACCTACTTCATTTCATCTGAGCAGAGTGCTGCTTAATTTTCTTTCTTTAACTTCTCTTCCTAACCAGAGGCATTTCATCCCTTAACCTGTAAATATTTCATCTTTATTACCTTAGTCCCTGTTTGCTTACCAGGAATATAAGGTGTTTACCTGAATGGGTAGCCAGGGAATCCTTCACTTTGATTTCTCTGTCTGTCTGAGAAGGATATGGAAAAAGTACATACCAACTTACTATGTGATCTGCTTAATCAGATTTTTATATTTATCACTTATATGAATATATTTTAACTTATGCTGCCATATCTGTTACTTACATTTTTAACAAATTATGTCAGTTAGGGTTTTTTTAATTTGTTTTGTTTGTTGTTATTTTTAAAGTATATTAAAGGTTTAAGCCCTCAGCTTTGTAACTCATGATATTATTGGACTGTAATTTTTTACTGAGATATAGTTATCTTAGATAATATATGTAAACAAGAGAAACAATGCCCAATGTTTAATTACATTTAGATAATATATGTAAACAAGAGAAACAATGCCCAATGTTTAATTGCATTTAGAATTTAAAATTTTGAGAAAATGCTACAATAGACATTGCTTTAACTCATGATTTATTAATTTGTCTAACTTGGATTTTTATTGTAAATAAATGCAGAAAATGGGGTATATATTACTGTGTGAAAGAACAATGCATAAAAATACAGGAATTTTAAAATCCATCAGTTATAACATTTTCTGTGATTTGTATCAAAGTGGAATCTTTGTTAATAAAGTTGGTTTTACAGCTAGGAGACTTTCAGGCCGCTGGAATGGAAGAAAGTAGATCAGAAAATGCTGCTTTGTCTGATTTCTTGGCCAAAAAGGATAAATCTCTACTAAGAAATGAAGCTGAAAAAGGTGTTGTTTGTTTACATTGTGCTGTAAAGCTAATGATATCCGTACTAACAGTGAAGATTTCCTTATAAAGAAGGTGATTTTCATTAAAAAAAATATGTATATGAAGAATGCAGGTTCTTGACGCATCCTTTGCAAACACTACTAAACTCATTTCGAATAAGAAACGGTTCTCCAGAGTTGGTATTCATACATAAAAGAAGCTTTACATTAGCTTTCAGTTAAAATCATATTTATCATAATTCTGTATTATATTTTTCCTATTGTTTTAGCCATGGATGCAGATGTGAAGAATGAAAGCCTTTCATCAGTGCAGCAGCTTGGTGTTGAAATGACAGTCAGGTACATGGTATTAAAATATTTCCCTAGTGTATTTCTAGGATTTGCTTGATTTTCATGGAATGACTTTAATGATACTTAATCCATCAACTCAATACTTTATACCATTTAAATCTAAACATCTTTAAGAAAACGAATTCTGACTTTGAAAATGAAAAAGGTATTGGTACATAATTAAATTATCTTTACAGATTATATAGGTTGTTATCCTTTATTGTTCTAAAGGCTAATTGCAACTTGTTAGTAAGCTTTACCATAAAATTACATTATCCTGAGTTATGTGTCTTTTTTTCCTCATACTACTTCTCTAAATGGTTCTGTTTAGCTAAGCTTAGCTATGTGCCATTTAAACATTTTATTTGGCTGGTAATTTGCAGAGTTGTGATGAAGGAAAAGCTAATGTGTCTGTACTTCCACAGATTGTTTCCTTTATCATTAATATTTGAATTCTAATGCTAATAATTACACATACAATATACTTAGATGGAATTCTAAATATTGTATGTGAAGAAAATGAGTCCTGTGTGTAAGAGTACTTGCTCCTCCCCACCACATTCTCTAAAACAACTAAAACTTAGGTGAGGAATTGTAACACTGAGTAGCAGATGTTTGGTGTGTGTCCTTCCTAGGTAAAGCATAAGAGGTTTTATTAAACCATTTATGTATATTTCTACAAAATAGTGTTTGTGATGAACAATCCTATGATGGCTTCACTTTCACAGGTGTATTAAATGTGAGTTCTTGCTTTTTAGGAATTGAAAAAAGTATTTAACCTTTAAACAGTTTTCATTTTCAACTTTTTGTGCTAGATATGGAAAATATCTAAACTTGCTAAAAGAACATGCTGAAAATGGGCTGTGCTTTGTGTTAATGAATTGTGAGAAATTTCTGAAACAACAGCAAAGAACTGTGGAATCCTCACTTTGTATCCTTTCTTGATGGCATAAATAGTATTGCCTAAAAATTCCAGTGGAGTTTGAACTCTCAGTTTGGGCTGTTGATGGTGGTGTGGATATCTAATATGTACTGAAAGAAAAAAAAACCTACAGCACATTTACTTTGAAATTTTGTGAAGTTGAAATGCACAACCAATGCTTTCAAGAAAATCTTCACCCTTTTGTTCCCATACTTCGTTAAAATTGTAAATCTCATTCATTTTTTGTCATAAACAGGAGTAGGATCACATCTTTCTGTATGTGATAAAGCATCTGCAGCAATGCACCTTTGAGCATTAATGAGTATTTGTGATACTCCCACAATACCAATAGTGTTAATGGTATTGCCCATGTGACGATACGTGGCTGTACCCTGATCAACAGGAATGTTTTGACTTCTGACTCTTTTAGATCTACTGTGGAACTTTTTTAAAAAATAAAACAGATACCCCTTTCCAACAAGCTTTGCTAAATTCTTCAGGTAGTAGACCTACATATCGCTATAAAATACACTTCAGGTGAATTAGTCAGAATACGCTTAATCTATTTTTTTAAAGCTTTTATTTTTCTTTGGTTTTTGTCCATAATCTTCACAACTCCTGTTTTCCTCCTCCACCATTTCTTGTACTACAAGCACACTTGTTTGATGCGGGTTTTTTTGCATTTACTTGTTTTTTATTTACTTGTGTTGATTTGGCTTGACTACTTATGGACTGGAAAAAAAGTAGTGTATAGGGAAAATAGCTTAAACTGTTTCTCAGTTCGGTTTGAGAGGCAGCTGTGCCCCAAGAAACTGCCTGCTGTGCAGCTCTGTTCCCCTTGTCCCACCTCTAACAAACCAGCTCTTGCCTCTGCATGCGTAGGCCTGGGGAGGAGGAGGGCTGCAGTGGGGAGGGGATGTCTGCCTGAGTTCCTTAACCTTCTCACGCAGGCTGCTTGCAGGAGCGCTGTGCTGGCTATGACTGGTTTGCCTCTTCTGTCTTCCTCATGATGTCAGGGGATGGGGAGAAGACACTGACGTTTCTTCAGCGATTTTCACGTCTTCTTGTTTCAGCATTTCTCTGGCTACCGAGACTGCATCTATCTGTAAGAATTTAAAAGATGTTTCTTTCTGAAAGGCTACTTAGAAAGTTTCTAAAGGAGACTTTATCAATTTCCTTAGTTTTGGGTGGATTTTTTAATGCATTAAGTTTTCATTAGGGCCCTCTAATGGAATACGTGACCCTGAAAAATTCACTCCAAAAAATATAGAATTGACATTTGCTCAAATGGTTGTTTAAAAGTAGTGAAATAACAGGTGGACTGATAGTAAAGGCAATGTTGTTGAATTTTAAAGCTGGCAGCAAAATAAACTTTGTTAGTGTCATTAAGTTCTGTGTGAAGGCTGTGATATTGTTGAATGACCTTTTTTAAATTATCATTATTATTATTATTATTACAGTGTGCAAGTCCATCCTTTTGATTTTTTTTTTTTTAGCAAAACTACCAGTTTTAAAATTTACTAAATACAATAGAATGTATTTAGTAAATTTTAAAAAATATTACTGCCCAAATACTGAATGCTCGACAATTTTAAGTTAGTTGTTTTGGATCAAGTTTATAGTATAGGAAATATAATTTCCATCTTTCCTTAGGGGTGATTCCATCTATTTAAAATAAAACCCTTCCAGTTTGACTTTGTGCATTGTCATGTTGTCTCGAATGTTTTGAACCTAAACTATTAAAGAACTGTAGTCTTTACTAGAGAACTCTGGGGTAATAGAAGCACCGATTAGATTCTGTACCTCTTCATGCGAGCTTCTGTATTGATATGAATTGCTCTGTCTTGTCACCAGAAGTGACCATATTGGTCCACTCACAGCACTGAATGCAGCCCTGAGGTTGTTCCAGAATAATGAAATTTCAGCCCATCATGTGCATATAGCTGTGCTGAACACCATCAGTGCTGAGAACTTTAGTTGTCTTCCATACAAGAACGAGCCAGCCTTGCAGGCAGGTTGCTGCAGTGCTAATGTTCATTTTCAGTACCTAAATGATTTCTTTTTCATAATATATCTTGAAAACACAAAGAGAAAATTCAATAATTAACTATTTGCATAACTACCACAATGTAAACTGAAATAAAATGTCAAAACATGAATGAGGAATTACCCAGCCATTGGATTGTGATGCTGCCTACCTCAGGAAGGAGGAAAATTGCAAAGGATGTACCTTGACCTTCTAGCACAAAGCCAAGGATTTATATTTTTGAAACCAGGCACTGATATCCAGAGCTTTCTATACTGATAAAAAACCTCTGTTCCTTTGCTGCACAAAAAAGTATTTCACTCATACCAGCCACACTTACTGCAAAGAAACGTGCACACAGAAAACAACTTCAAATACCATCGAAGTTCCCCTCTATCCACCAGTAAATGCAAAAAAAAAAAAAACCCAACAGAAATTAGTCTTTTTTTCCCTCCTTCTGTTCTTTTGTTTAAACAGCTGTTTCTCTATCCCTGCTTTGACAGTTAAAGCTGACATGCAATAAAGAACTAGATTGCTAATGCAAAGGAATAGTCAGGATATATTTAATGACAGTTTCTAACTTTCAGTTTTCTTTAGTCTAACTACATGTTTTTCCTGATGGTAGTACCAGCTTCTTTGTTTATCCTGTTTCCTGCCTCTAAAATAACTGGGATGACTTATCTTACAAGTAAATGTGTATATTTTCAATGTTGTTCTTAGCAAGGTATTTTAAAATAACACATTTTTGTAGTCTGTAATCCTTTTCCTCAATTTTGTCGCTGTTGATGATGATGTTGTTGTTAATCAGATGCACCTGCCTATTACCACAGTGGAATCTGGCATCCATCCAGTCTATTTTTGCAGTGCTCACCACATTGAAATGTTGCTGAAAGCTGAGTTGCCACTTGTCTTTTCAGCCTTCCACATGTCTGGTTTCGCTCCGTCCCAGGTAACTGATGAAAATATCATCCTTTTTAACTTATATCCACAAAATCAAAGATGTTCAGGAGCTGCTCTGATCTTTCTACATAGCACTGGTGTGGAGGTTATGGAACTGGGAGTACGAGGCAGTACTGAATGCATAGTGACTTAGAGCATCTGAAAATAGAAAGCAACTGACTTTGGTAGAATAATGACGGTGTACTGTGGCTGATGACCTTCTATTACGTGTTCATGAAGAAAACTTGATAAAAATAATGTATACCAAAACCTCAGATTTATCATGAAAAATAAATAGTATACCTTATTCCCTGGAATAATTTTCTGAATTTTCCATAGGAGGAAAATGAGTGATTTGGGATAGGTGTATAATAGGAAGCAGTTCAGGTGATATTAGAGCAAAGTTAATTTTATATGAGGTACTATATAACTATTACAATCAGGTAACACATTATTATTCTATATTAAAGAGATGTTACTAAAGAAGAATGTTTACCCATAATGTTAGCTTTCATTTTACCTAGTTACTACAATTCTTTGGTAATACGGAATGCTATGTATGGAACATTGCTTGTGAAGACCACAGCCATGATGAAGCGTAAACAGCTTCATGCAATACGCTGTATGCTTTTTTTTAGTTGTTTGCACTCAATTAATAATAGACTAGTTATTGTTCTAAACTGATGACAAGGTTTTCTGTTTGGGTTGGGTTTTTTTTAATTTATTTAATGTGTTACTGAAATGCCATTGGTGGGTGCCACTGTATCTTCTCTGTGATTTTGCAGTTCTATAGGATTAAAAACAAAGAAACAAACCCTGAACTGTGAAAACAATTCTGATGTGTTTAAGTGCTTGTGTGCATCAGTAAATACCTGAAAATGGATTTAGTGCCAGAGTATGGCTGCTGTCATCTAATTAGTGTCTTGGTACTTCTGCTGCTGCATATTTTTAAACACTTTAAGGACTGATTAGCAGGAGATTTGTCTAGAACTAAATGAAAACTGCTCTACACATCTCAATACAGTGATTTAGAACTGGAAAAAGGAGGCGCTAAGTGTGTTCCCTACCCACTTCGTTAAATGAAAATGTGTCTTAGGGAAGGGCCTAACATTCATTTATAAGGCAAAGAACTACTTTAATTTAAAGGAAAATCCACATTAAACACACCTTCATCACCTTCATTACTCTTTAGGCCACATTTAAAAAATCTTGAAAAAAATCAACTTTGCTTTCATGGACGTTGAGTTTTATGTCTCAACCTCAGGAGTTACCAGAATATACTCAGATAAGCGAGATACATGGATGCAGGGTGTTATGTTCAGCAGAACTCACTGGAAGTCTGTTCAGAGGCTGTGATTTAAAAAATGGTGATTCTTGGCTTCTTTTATGTTTTATCCCTTTTATTTTCTTGAGTAGGGTAGTGTTATAGGGAAAGGGTCTGTAGCATAGAAAAGTTAAGAGATAAGTTAAGGTGATCAATTATGAGTGAATGTCTGCAGCAATTTAATTATGTATCATTTCATTCTCATCTAGATTTGTCTGCAATGGATAACTCAGTGTTTCTGGAATTACATGGACTGGAGTGAGATCTGTCACTACATTGCTATATGTATTTTCCTTGGTCCCGATTATCAAATATATATGTGTATTTCTGTGTTCAGACACCTACAGCAAGACATCCTGAAGCACACTGAAGCCCAAGATCTCCAGGTTTTTCTTAAAGTAAGGTTTCTTTTAAATTTTTCAATTGCTGAAGGGAAGCAAAGCTGTCAATAATGAAAGTATGTATGTTACTTAATCTGAAGCTCGTATCAATTTTCACTTACTGATTTTAAGTGAGTGAAATGATACTTTAATGTTATTTACTTCCTGGCAGGAAATTGTAGTATAGTATTTTCCAGAGAATAGTTTTCCTGCATTTTGTCCTGATCAGTTTGCTTTGTAAGCAAAGTGAATAGCCACATTAAGTCATGAGGGCATTTGATTCAGTTCTCTCTGTGGCCCCAATCTCATCAAACTAGTTGTTCTCCAGAGAGGTGGATTTACACAGTGGTCTCCTACTGAAGCTTGAAGGGATGTGGCACAAAGCTCAGTGAGCTGTTATTTTGAACAGATGTCAGTTACTATACAACCAGCCTCACAATTTCTCATTCTTTGCCAGATTATAAATTCTATTTGGTTATTTGATTGTTTTTGCAGGGTACTCCTTAGCTATAGATGCAGTCATGAATAGATACAAATACTTAATTATTCTTCACAGAGACATTTTTGCTTTTTTCTCTGCTCTTTTTTTTTTTTTTTTTCCTCCAGTCATAGTTCTTTTAAGAGCTGTATTTCTGCATCTTAGTCTGGCCTGACAATAGTTTTCTGACTAGTTTTCATCCAACTTCTTAAATATGAATAATACGTCAGCTCAGTCATTTCCCCTGAAAATATTTGGTACAAATTATAATGAGTGAATTATTTTGTTTGACCTGGTTTTGGTCAATGTGGCTTAAAAACTGCTTCATCTTGATGGCATTGTTGGGATAGTTTATGTAAATTATAGAAGAGACAATTTGTATATTGTCACCTACAGTATAAACAGGCCAAAGATTTGACATGGTACTGTTAAATTAATGAGAAATACTGTATATTGATGCACTACTGGAGTATTTACAATTCATTGAGTAACTACTGCAGAAAAAGTGGAGTTAATAAACTGTACTCTTGATTTTGATAGTTCTTAATTTATCTAAAGAAAAAAAAATGTTCTGTAATTGTACTCATTCAATTTCAGCTATGTTGTAGGCTTCATGTGGGGTTACTTGAGTTTAATACTTGCAGAGCCATTAGCCAGCTGCCCTTTTATTGAAATAACCAAATTCAGTTTCAAGTTTTAGCCTATTTCTCAGCACAACAGTCAACATTCACAAATTTGGATTACTGTAGTGAAGCAGTTCTGTTAAAAGTAGAAGTATAAACTGCTCGGAGAGCATAATCCAAGATAAAAAAAAAAAAACAACACACCTACAACCTTTAAATACTAATTTTATATATTTTTTTTAATGTAATGTCATATCTGTGAAAGAGGTAATGTTTCTTATTACTCTATAATTTGCCTTTCCCCTGTGCCAAGAGGAAAGTAGAAGGACTGAATTGTCCATGAACATTTTTTCCCTTTTTCTTTTTTTTTTCTGTTGGCTGAGATGGGTAACTAGCAGTTATGATCCCTTCAAGGAATCTTGAAGTTTCAGCATTAACCTTGAAGTTTCAGCATTAACTGAATTCTAAATTTATTGGTTGGTCTTTTATGAGTCTTTGCATGGAAGGGTGAAGGTGCATAGCTTTGTAATTTCCACGTGTGAACCAAGAATACTGTAACCTGCCACCTCAGTAAACCAGTCTTGACTGTCTTGGTTTTGCTGGTTTCATTTGTATAAAATAGCAAACTGGGGTTACAGGGTTTGTGACTTGTAATAGCACGTGTAGGCCAGTGTGTCAGTCTTGTCTAGGAGTAGTTTAGCTACTCTTCACTTTATTTTCTGTGAGTATGGGACATATTATTGACAGCTAAGTTGCTGACTAGTGCTTTATTATGTGCATACATTTAATCAAGATAGGTTTTCGCTGCTTAAAAAAAAAAAAAAAAAAAAAAAGGAAAAAGAGATAAATACCTACAACAGTTCTCTATTGGACTCAGTTTTCCACTGTAGCCAGCCTTCTCACAGTGCATGAAGAGCAACTTGGAAGGTAAAATTGTGCCTTTACTTTCACTTGTTAGTAGGGGAAGAGACATATAAAGACCATCTTGAATTCCTGTTCAGATGCCAAAGTGCAGCCTTCCAAGCCCGAGTAGATGTTCTCAGGAGAATTCTACTTAGCAGAGATGCACAGTCAGTACACCGACAGATACAACGTGTCTACAAGGACTGTTTAATCCAGAGAGCTTTCTGCAGCAGATGTTGCCAGCAGTGGTATTACTGCTTAGTAGAGGTTGGGCACAGACGTTGTTGCAGTTTAAAGCAGCAACAAGTTCACCCGTTTAATCTAGACTGTTCTTCAGGATCCTGCTTTCTGTGGTGTGGCCTGTTTGTTTCTTTTTCCTGAGGGCACATTCTTTTACTCTATTTTTTTTGAATTAATAAGAATTAATGATTTGTGTTGATGCAGCAGCGTTTATTCTGTTCTCATTTAAGCACTTCATAAAGATCTTTCTTTATCATTAAATTTAAAAATAAGTACCTACTGTTACTTTCCTGGTTTTATTGAGAATCTAGTTGGATATAAAAGCCACATAAACAAACTTTTAGCATGCCACATGCTGGTATAGAAATGTTTTAAAAGAATATTTTAGTGCCTGGCTTTGCCTTCTTAAAGCTTAGTTTTCCTTAAAAATCTTCATATGCCATGTTCTCAAAAAATGAGATGAACAACGTCCACCTGAAAAAACTATTTGTTGCCAAGACTGTAATTATAAAGAACTCTGGAAGCCGATATTAACAATTATTTATTTCTAAATGAATGTAATAAAATGTGTGTATTTTAAACACCCAGGCTGTGACAAGCAGAATAAAATGATCTATCTTTAGAAGCTTGGAATTCATTAAATTTGAGTTGTGCATCTTTTTTTTTCCTAGCTAATAAGTGTTTTCTGTATGTATTTGTGCAGGAAGAAGCACTCCATGGATTTCGAGTGAGTGATTATTTAGAATACATGGAAAGCTTGGAGGCGATCTACAGACCTATGCTGCTGAAAGACATGAGGAACATAAGAGTGCAGAATACATAGATGAAGCAAACAAGCCCTTTATTTTCCAGTTGTGGTTATATCCTTTAAGAGGATGCTGGTTGATACATCAATCTCACCTGAAATAAGTCAGACTGTGTAAATGTACATACTGTAAAGTAAAATAAATAAGGAGGGTTTTCAGAATATAGTTTTTGCAAAAGGCATTAATCTAAGTTTGATGACCTAAAATACCATGGTTCCCCAGACAGGCTCTATGCACAGCCTCATTTTCAGTTAGCAGAAGGCAGCTTCAGAACCTGCCTGCAGGATACTCAGCTGCCTTCCTTAGAACATAAGTCATCCTTATAAAGCCTTGAACCTGTTCCCAGCTCATTGCATTATTGTCATCTCCTTGTAGCACAGTCCTAAAACCTTCATATTTTGCTAGGGTCTGACAAAGTGATTTTTCTTAGGAACAACTGCTAGTGTGTATTCCTGTGCATTAAAAGTCAACAAATGAAAAATAAATTCCCTGTACACGGCTGTCCTGACTTTGTGGATAAGGCTGAGAAAATGGGGTATTCAAATACATGTGACGAAAAAAGACTGATATTCCTGTCTTTTTTCTTTTTCAATAAAATAAATCATTTTATGTCATAAAACATCTATTTGTAGCATACACTCTCTGTCTGCATAAGTAAATGAGAAGTCCTTGAGCGGCCTGCTTTTCATATCTCTGGAAAATGACCATTTTAAAAGATTATGGTTTCCTTCAGACAGGAAAACTAATAAGAAGCTTCCTCTTTGCTTGCCTTTCACCATCAATGAAAAGCAAGAATTAAGGCTGCTAGGTATTTTCTAACACCAGTGCAGTGTAAGTAAAATTTCAACAGTGGTGAATATTTTCAAATTCCCAGTTTTAAAAGAAACAAGGTTTTCTTGAGGAGTGCTGCATCCCGTTTGCTGTAAGGATGGGTTTTAAGTAACAGTCAGTAGGCAGCTGAAGAAACATTCTAGTGGCTCTCTTTTCCATATTATATCATTGTTAAACATTATTTAAGAAATCAATATATATTTGTGCACCAATTAATAGCTGTTTTCTGAATATAAATTTCAAAGCACGGGGTGTGATGTTGAGTCAATAAATAATAATTAGATGACAACGTATTCCTAAAATGGTTACTACAGTTGGCTTGTCAAGAATTAATTATTTGATTGAATTTATGGCCAATAAAATGGTATTATTGGCAAGCAGGAGGGCTTCCTTCAGTATTTATGAGTAATCAAAGGATGTAGATGGAAAATGACAAGGTATTATCCTGTGGCCATTTACTGTTTTTCACACAGTCAATCAAATCTGCATCAAAATTTCCAGAAAAGAAAATATCAAGTAGAAATGTAACTTTTATAATGTCCATACGAGGTTAGATGAAAAGTAGACACTGAAGATGATACCTTGCTAACTGCAGAAATTCAGTGTCACATGGAAAGAAAATTAAAATTAGAACAGTTATTAAAATTTACTCTGAAGTTTGTTATTCTAGTATCTTGAAATGGTGGAGGAGAAATAGTGTTGTCTGTTCGGTACATCGTACTCAAGACCAGCCAAGCTTCCTCTCCTGTCTCCCTCACACATCGCCATAGTATTTGTAGGTTGCTTGTTCTTTTCATTTTACAAGATTTTTTTTCTCACTTCTGTGTTTTGTTGGCCTCTTCTGTTCAGGGCTTTTCATCTGTGCTTAAAGGTATTCTTTCAGTAGATGCACCAATTGCCATATCTCACAACCTCTATTCTACCCTATTTTTTCATTCTCTGCTACAAAAGGCATTACAGTGATATGGACTTTCATCTGTTTCTGATATACTGCCTCACCAGTAGAACTTTATGGTTTGAAGCTCTGTCTCGTGAGTTGCCCAAGTTCACTGTCTGAGTATTAAGAAGGTTGAAAGAGTTCAGACGGGGATTAGCTCAGCCTACGAGGCTCAGAGACTGGCTTGGAGCAAAACTTTTGGGAGCATTTCGAGCAGTAGCATCCATCCATGAAGTGAAACACACTTGCCTGTTTTTTCACCTATGCTAGAGCAGGTGCAGAACTGGCATTTGTTGTGTGCCGGCCCACAGCCTTCCCCTCAGAGTAGCAGTGCTGATGTTTTATTATATTCAGTCATCCATACAGATAATTTTGACTGATGATCTCTGACTTAGGTTTGTCTTTTTGTAATTATTTCACAGATGTTGTCTTTTTCTAGGTTATCTATTAAGAATTTTATGGTGCATGATGACGTTTTACATTTAAAGGCCCAAGAGACCTCTGAGTACATTCTAAAACTGGTGCATAGCTCCTTTCATGTGCTGTGAAGAAACTTACCAAGGAATCCTACTCCTGTATTGTGAGCTGGCTCACTAGCAGCTGCTTAGACCGTGACTGTAATTTTTTCTTCCTGTCTTAGAGGTGGGAAGCAGTTGGTTTTCAGAAGTATTGTAGTCAGTAGGCAAATTTTAGATGAAAGGTGACAATGGAAGAAAGGAAGTAATGGCTTTAGTGGAGATTTTGCTTAGAAGGCTTCATCTCTATACACCCTCCCCTTCTTCTCTGCCCTACACATGCCCTTTATTAACGCATTTTTTCAAACCGTGTTCTTTGAAAAAAAGATCTTTCAAAAACTCAGACTTAATGCAACCATGCTTTCATCTAGCCCAGCCTTGATCAATATTTACCCAGCAGCTGGAGTTACAAAATCTTTCTACAAAACTGCCTTAATTTTCGTTTAAGGTCTTAAGATCCTGTGTTGCAACCTAGTGTCTCTCACTAATGGCATGTTCAGTGATGGTATCTAAATAGGCTTTGCAATTGGATGAAGTAAAATTCTGGTCTGTAGAAATGAGAAAATACTAGGTTATTAAGAACTTTGAGAGTATAAGAGATATTCTAGTGTCATCGGTATCAATTTTCTAAAGAGCTTTTTGAAAACAGGATTATTTTTGGCTTAGTCTTGGACAATAAACCTGTTCTCACCCTGAAGTAGTAAGTTTTCTGGAGTAAATTTGCATCAATAATTCTGAAGTTTCTAAAAGTTCATGCTTCCTCCTTTAACCACACAGAGTTTCTAAAAGGCGATTACTGGATATCTTTTTATTAGGATATCTGTCCTTTCTTACAATTTCAGTTTCTTTTCAGCCAAAGTAATTAGTTGCACTACTTCAATTTAAAGTGAAATGCCCTGTTCCTGCAATTACCTTTAAAGAGATTTTTGGTCTTGGTAATTATTTTGCATAGAAAGGTAAATTGCACTGTAGCTGATAATATCAGACCCTTAGTACCTTGATGTTTCCCATAACATTGGTTCTTTATCAAATGAAACAAGATTCAGCTTCTGTAGCAAAAAGTTACTTATCTTTTTTCTTACAGGAAGAAGTCTTTATACTGTGAAGTGTAAGTAGCCAGCATAATTGGTCAGGTCCCTGCTGTAGCTAGTTCGGTAACTAAGCGGTATAAATTCCCCAAATGCATCCTGGTTATGTAGGCAACGTTACCACATGATGTTACTTAGTGAAAGTTAAGCATTAAGTAGTTCTTTATTTGGTTAAAGAAGTAGGCAAAATACGGCATTTTATTGACACCTGCAATAACATTTTCTTTACAGAATGTCTGGAATCTCAAAATATTTTGATTAGAATTTGTGATGTAATAAATGTTTTAGAAGTCCAACAGAAACCACAAATGTTGAATTTAGACTTATTCAATATCATTGCCACATTCCTGTGAGACAAACTAAACATTACTGCAAAGTTATGGAAGAACAACTTCACTGGATGAAATGAATGTGTGAGCACATACACAAATGCAAATTATAAAATACATTAGAACCTGCAGTGAAATTTCTGTAATTATATGCAACCTAAGAGTGAACACTGACAAAGGCTTTGCCACTAATTTCTGTTTTCCTGACTGTGCATTTCATAAGTTCATGGGTTTAGCTTTTTTCCCTGGCTAGAAAATAAAATGTTTTAAATATTTTTGGACTTTGTGAACTGTGTTGGCTCACCTACATTAATAAAAGAGGCTGGCAAGTATGAGGAAAGAATTATGATGACAACAACTGATGGAACCGAGTATTTGCCTGACACCCGGGTCAAAGAATGCTAAAACTCCCATCAAAATCTGTTCTTTTAACCTCAATAACAGTTTCTTTTTTTAAAATAACTTTTGGGGCATATATCTCAAAATAACCAAATGACAAACATTCAGATGGTGAATAACACTAGAACACTAACATATATGTGTTTCTAGAAATTCTAACATTTTAAAAAAGACCATGGTTGATTAAGCTACCAATTATGAAGTCATCAGTTTCTTTATCAGCAGCAGATATTTGTCAGGAAAATTAGCTGTTGTGCTAGGCATTTCAGTAACCCAGGGATTCTTGCTGTCTAAATAGCTGCCACTTCATATTCCTCGTCCCGCAACGAAGAAGAGAGAGGCACTGAAGAGCTGACCCTTAATATCAACGACTTTCATCGATATTGCATCAAATCAATGCAAAGAGGTACAGTACACAGTAATCAGGAAGATGAGTCGAATACAAATATAACGCAAACAGCCTGAGTACCAAGTGCTGTTGCTGACAAAAGCAATTCTGGCATTGCCTCCAGCGATCCAGTCAGCTGCACTTTCCCCATCTGCAAAACAGCTACAATTTCATACAGTCCATATAGGTGCTGAGATGATTAATTAGAGAATATTTGTAAACATTTAGTGCATGAAAATTCTATGTAAGTGCTGAATTTTAATACCTGATAATAATCTAAAATTCCATATGACAGAAACAGGACATTGACATGTTACAAGTAGACTGAAACAGAGCTTGAAGTAATGGTAGTCAGGGAAGTCAACAGCATCCTCTTTGGATCAACAACAGTCTGAAAACAAATGACCATTTTAACAATAAATACCTGAAAACATACTCACATGCTATATTACCTCTAGCTTGAAGACTCCCTCATCCAGCTTTGCTGGCTTATATATAAATTTCTCCCTTCACTCAGCTCCCCATTTTCT